GGAGTTTTAAGTCCACTTTCTCAAGCTTCTTCCATTCTTGCCTTCCGTGTTCAGTTCAGCCCATTTTAATTCTATCCCTCAGACCCCAGTTCCTAACGTTTTTTAGATTCTTGTTTATCAGTGCTGTGAATTGAACTATACTGGTTTGTTTACCTAAGGATTAGCTGTTATGGGCAGGGAAGAAATATTAGTTTAACTGGAATCAAGAAACCTGCAGCCACAAGAAAAATAAATCAGAGAAAGAGAGAGAAACTGGAAAATGTGGGCTCATTTCACTGCGAGTCAAGCCTGGTGGGGTTTTTCCCCCTGGTGACCATAAGGACAGGCAAAGAGATCTTAAGAGATCAGAATTCATTCCAACAGACAGATCTGGGCTTTTAAAATTATTAATCTGACAAACTGCTAAGGAGGTAACAAAAGAATAAGTAGATAGAAGAATAAAATGGGTGATAATTTTTTTCCTTCCCCCCCTCCCAGCACTGGCATTAGAAGAGCTCTGTGTTCACCATGTGTATAGCCATTTACCATGACTAATGGGAATAATGTACTACATTTCATAATACTGATCTCTTTGGCAATTTGAAAAAAAAACTCATAACTGGATGGCTATACTTGCTATCTAAAAATACTTATCACAAAAACTTTAAGGCAAAATTTTTTAAGAAAAAAAAATACCTTTCTAGAGAAGCAAAGAAACTTTTCAGAATGCTAAGGAAAGAACCCACTCTCTCTCCTTTCCTGTTTTGGGTAAACACTTAATCCTCTCAGATGTTTTCTCCTGCTGAATACTTGTCCTACATGCAGCTTAAGATTGTGTTCAAAATTTTCAAAATTCCTTCTACAAGTGTATCCTTGTTTTCCCTAAAAATGGACTCAAACTGATGTTAGAAACTGGCACAGATGTTAGAAATTCCATCCTCTTTCCAGAAAAGGACCAAGCATGAGTGTGAGGTAATGTCCGTTTTTGGAAAATTCTTATTTCCTCCCCGATTCTGGATGTAATTGTCAGCATGCCCATCAAAGTGCCTGGACATCCTACACAGCTTGCCTCCACGTTGTTCCCTGAGAGTTACATGGAGCTCCTTCCAAATGCAGAATGTCTGTAAAATTATCTGCAAGCAGAATAACTACTTGTAACATTTTCTATACTGAATCAGGGGAGCCTTTGCTCTGAAAACAGTCAGCCCGAGTCCTACGCAATGCAGAAAACTATAACCTTAAGAAATCAAAGTTGGATTTGTATCCTCCTAAGTCATGAACACGTGCAGGTGACACTTGATATCAATTCTAAACCAAAACGTTTTCTATTTTTATAGTTGATTTTTATTCATTGCTTATCAAAATAATCCGGAAAGGAAATAAAATAACTCACCTATACTCAAATGCACAATCTGATATCATGCAATAGATAGTAATACTTTGCCACAAGTCAAATAATTTAGGAAAACAACCTATGTGTTCGCTTCACAAAAGGTGTGTGTGCTTGTTTGGTTAATTTTCACCATGAGTAGTGACACTTTATAGTTGCATCTGACGACTGACTTCAATATTTCACACAGAATTGACTGACTCTATTTCCATTTGGAAGAAAGTTTTAAAATTTACAACCTAAATTTTCATTTCTGCTGTTCATCAAGGTTAATAAATAACTTCTCATGAATCAAGAATTAGGTTTGATTTGAAAGCACAAAATTAAAACAAAATACTTTTGGAAATAAAATATTGTGAATGTTTAAGGAGGTAAGTCCTTATAAAACATTCACCAAAACACATCAGTCAATGTTGTTTTACTTCTGCTAATATATTTATTTTAAGTCATCAAATTATTCTGATTTCCTAAGCTCATTCTAAATCTCCTCTTAAGTTATTTATATTTATTTATATTATTTTATATTTTGTACTGCCCACATGGTTTACACAATGCTTTACATCCGACCCAATAATACCTTCACATTGGCCAACTCAGAGAAGACAAGTTTAAAACAAAGATCTTACAAAATACTAGTTCTATGTCTAAACATGGCTGATAATCTTTATAGGTGATGCTAATATTGGCCAGGAGTCAGGGGTTGATATGAGCAGAAAGGTCATGGGCAATTCTTTACTGAAACTAAGAACACAGTAATAAGAAAATTAAGTATACCTGAGTAGAACAAAAGTACCCTACCGAAATTAACTTTTGATGCATTTTTCCTGAGTACAGAGACTGGCATCTATAAAACAAATATCAAAATCAGTGTCATTATTCATCCTCATACTTCATGTGTTTAGCTACTTAAATGTAGTATACAGCAGTTCTCCCAAGACCAAATATGACACACATTAACAGGAACAGGCTTTTATTATGATCATGACTATTCTCATAGTCCTTGACTTTATCCAAAATGCAAGCCGATATAAATTAAAACCATTAACAAGGACATTAAGAAGTGAAAACAATTCTCATAATCCTTTTACACTATGCACATGAAAAAGATTGATATCTTCATCATTTTGAAAGAGTTCAAAACTTCTCTTACGAATTACATAATGACCTCATTAAAATAGCTAGAATAAACAAAGGTTCCCCAATAAAATGTATTTAATATGTGATCCACATATTAACTTTATCCAAAGAATCCGAGAAGAATTTTATCCAAAGCTCTAGCTCACAAAATTCTCAATCAAAATGTGGGCAATTGATTCTGCAGCTGAGGGCAATCTCCCCACTAGGTTTTCTCAAAGATGGCTGATGCAAACAGCACCTTATAACTACATTAAAAATGGTTGCTCAGATTAAATTATGCAAATGTAGTTTCAAAATAACCTGCTCAAGTTTCAGCGCATTGAAGATGGACCTGCAAAACATTTGCCATGTTATGCCTGGTTCCAGCGTAATTTCAGTGGGTTCTGAGGGGACCAAACCCCAAATCATCCTCATAAAGAACGTTTTTGAAACATAAGTGCACATGGGGGCGCCTGGGTGGCTCAGATGGTTGAGCGTCTGCCTTCGGCTCAGGTCATGATCCCAGGGTCCTAGGATCGAGCCCCGCATTGGGCTCCTGGCTCAGCGGGGAGCCTGCTTCTCCCTCTCCCTCTGCCTCTCTCCCTGCTCATGCTCTCTCTCTCTCTCTGTATCTCTGTGTCTCAAATGAATAAATAAAATCTTAAAAAGAAAAAAGAAAGAAACATAAGTGCACAAACATCCAATTCCATGGGCACATTCACTGGCCTTCAACCTGGCCTCTGAACACTGATCTCTCACCAATGCAAAACGAGGCAGAGCCATCAGGCGCTTCTTGAAGTCTCCATTCTGGGCCACTGACAGAAGGGGACATCTTTGAAAAGCTCTTATCTACTAAAGTAAGATATCCCAGAGATAGAATTTTCAAAATGGGGCTAACAGGGTAAATCAGACCCCTATCTACAAAGATATTTCTGTGAACATAAAATTCCTAGCTTTTTCCTAATAGGAAATGACAGGAAAATGCATGGTGATTACAGTACCAAAGCAAACTCAATAAATTTAATGGGTAGCCTAATCTCAAGCCACAAAACACTGGCCCAGTAGCACGTTAGATGTTTTCCAATTAGTAATTGGTCAATTAGTTGGGGTTTTTTTAAGTAAAGAAACTTTAGGTTTTAAATATATTTTTCTCTGTTAGTTTATATTTATATCAAGAACTAAAGATACATTTTAAGTAATGATGTACTTAAACTGTCCATATTTAGTTAAATCTTAGCTTAAATAATTTGCAAAACAACAGGAACAAAATAATCTAAATTATTTCCATGTTCAAGTAGTTAGCAACTTGTTAGTAGTTGAAAGTCAGATAAAATCGAATTAAAGCAGAAAGTTGTCACAAATGGAAACTTTAGCAGTCCACTAGTCAAAAAAGGGGAACCATTTTGTTCAGAAATATGCCGGCGTTTTTTTATGTCAAACTTGAATTTTCACTATTCTTTCTAAAGTCAGTCTTTAAAACAGTATTTAAGTGCCATTTACTTCCACTTACAACCCATCACTGGTTATTCCTCTTACTGCATTTTCAAACGTTTATGTAACTCAAAGCATCCATACAGCAGCGCTGTCCCCCCACCCCACACGGTTGATTTTCTGTACTTAGTGCTTTTCTCCAGCACCATCAGTTTCACCCAAGCATTCATCATTCAGACTTTCCTACACTTTCTTAAACCGGTTTTGACTTCAGTACAAGCTGAGGGAAGCCTTCAGGAGAATAAAGATCCTTCAAACAAACCAACATTCTAGGCCTTAAACTATCAAACAAAATCTCCAAAGAACCAACAAAACATCCCTGTTTTACTGTTACGCCCCTCAAAATGGGCTGAAAGCCCTTCTCAGAGCCTGTTGACCATCCCGACGTACTCAGGCGTTGGGAAGGCCAGCTCGGGAGATTCGCACAGCACCAGAATCAAGATGGTAACATTCACGCACGACGGTGGCGCGGCTGAGAACTCTTCCCCGCAAGGGCCTCCTTGAAAAGCACAGACACTTCTTTCGCAGCAAAGCAAAATGTGCTGTTTACAAACCCTCACCATCCTTTCCACCCATTGCCACGGGCTGGCTACTCCAGGGCCACCATGAAGGGCGGCTGCCCGTGGTGGTCTTTTCCTTACACACCCTCACGGGCGCGCACCCACTCACACCCGGCTCTCCATACATTCCTGCGGCCTCCGGGACCGGAAAGATGAACCATACTCTCTGGGCCATTTTCCCCCAGTTTGAGCTACTTTAGCTCAAAATATCCAGTAACGTCCCTGAAGAGAAAGGGGATAAGAAAAACAAAATTATTTTCCCCAAATAACCTGGCTTCCCTGTCCCCAACCTCACGAACAGCCAGAATGACACCGACTCTGCCGAGAGAGGACAAGAAAACTTCAAACGCAAGGCGGCCGCGCGGAGCTCAGCAGCGACGCGAGAGATGAAGGCACGGAGCGGGGCGCCGGGGCGTGTCCCCCAAGCCCACCCGGGGTCCCCTCTCCGCTTTCCGTCCTCTTACTTTTGGATGATCTGCGGTAGGCCGGCTGGGGGCGGCGGCGGCGGCGGCTGCATCCCTCTCGGGCCTGGGGGCGCGGGGGGCGCGGGGGGCGCGGGGGGCGCCGGAGCAGCCGGCACGCTGCGGGCATCTCTGTCCGGTTGCTCGGGGCCGCTGGGATCCGCGTCCTGGCTCATGGCTGCGGCCAACACCATGTGAGCCGACACCGGCCCCAGGCTCGAGGCGAGAGAGCGCGCGCAAAGGGCGGCCCCGGGGCACGGGCGCTCACTGGCCGGGGTCCCCGTGCCCAGTCCCCTCGTCCTTCCCGGTGGCGCGGGGAGGAGACGCGAGGGGCGGGGAGGAGGCAGTCCCGGCGGCGCCGCCTCCTCCTCCTCCTCCAGCCGCTCCCGCCAGCGCAGCCGGGCCACGCGGGGGCGGGGGCCGGGGGGCGTCTCCCGTCCGGCAGGAGCCGCGGGGGCCCGCGGGGGCTGCTCGGCGCCGGGGTGGTCCGAGGAGCTCTGCCCGCCGACCCCGAGCGCCGCGAGCGAAGAGGCAGCTTGGCGCACGGCATCCGGCGCCGTGCGCGCTCAGGGTCCCCGGCCCGGCTCCCCGCAGCGCAGCACAACTGCGTGGGGCGGCGAGACGCACACCGGCCGGCGGCCGCCCGCGGGGCTCTGGCCTCTCCGCCGAGCCTGGCGGCCTCGGGCTTGTCCCCGGGGACCGCGCGCGCCACACCGCGCCCTACTGCCGAGAGGGGCGGACAGAGCGCGCCCGGGCCGTCCGCGCGCATCCCCGATGCGAAGTGAGCGGGACTTGGCACCTTCCCGCGTCTGGAGCCTGGCCAGCGCCACTCTTGGCTGAAGGGCCCGACCCGGCGGGGGGGAAAAGCCCGGACCCTCCCCCAGCTCGGGGGGACCTGTTACCCCGGGTCTTAGATGACCAGGCCGGAGGGCTCTCCAAATTGGCAGTTCCAGCTGCTGATTTCAGGGGTCTCCAGAAGTAGCCGGTGGGGCCGCCGTGGTTTCTCTTCATTTTTCTCTCTTCTCTAAAAGACCCGCTACGATCCCGGGAGCGCAAAGACAAAACCAAGCAGACGTTTTATTCTTGTTATTTATTGGCGAGATCTTAGTGGACACATAAAGGATGAAAAGGAGAGAGTTCGCCTACCTCGCGCCGCCACCGTCACCGCTTCTGCAGTTCGGTTCGCTGTCGGAGCGCCGGTGCGCGCCAGTTCACCTGCACACCCCGGCCCGCCGCGTGGACGCAGGCATCTTGCGTTGAGGAGCTACCCTTCAAGGTGCAGCCTAATGTTCTGGCCCGAGGTCTGGGGAGGCACCTGGTGGCGCAGAAACATCTAGGAGCTGGGCAAAGCTCACGGAGAGTGGTTATCCAGAAGATCCTTACCGTGCGTTGGGCGCACTAGCTTTCTAAATCCTGACATTGGCCGCCCCGGGGAAACAAGGAAAAAGCGTCCTTTGGGTACCTTGGAAGCCAGAGCGCAGGCCAGGGTGCCCCGTGGTCTGGAAAGAAGTTTGCCGGGGTCTCAAAAGCCCACGCCTCCTCCTCCCTCAGCCACATGAAGGAACATTCTGGGGATGGGTTCTCTGGAACATGGCAACTAACGGAACTCCCTGAAAGATGCTTTCTTCTCTCCCCAGACTGTGAGTTTCTGTCAACTCCCCCTCCAGGCTCAGGAAACTAAGCTTCCCTTGATTTCTGCCATCCTACCTAGATCTTTACTCCTCCTTCCCTCTCTCTCCTACAGATAAAAATGTCCTATCCTTCCTTCCTTTCTCTCTCCCTCCTTCTCCTACAAATAAAATGATATGCCAATTCCTTGTATTAATAAATATCGTCAAAATTCATAAAAGTTGAGTCTCACCAAAAACTCAGGTAACGAGGTATTGATTCCTGTCTCCATTTCACAAATGAGGAGGCGTCAGGGCGATTTGTCCCACAGTGCATGGCTAGTAAGAGGCCATCCCAAAAAGAGTCTTCTGAGGCTGAGGGATTAGGTCATTATCTCTGGTTTCTTTCTTTTTTTCTTTTTTTAAGATATTATTTATTTATTTGAGAGAAAGCGAGCATGAGGGGAGGGGGAGAGGCAGATGGAGAGGGAGAGGCAGACTCCCCATTGAGCAGGGAGCTGATGCCAGGCTCCCTCCCAGGACCCTGGGATCACGACCTCAGTTAACCAACAGAGCCACCCAGGCGCGCCTATTGTTTCTGGTTTCTATCACTAAAGTCCTGACTATGGTTTCCATAAAACTCCACCTTCCACTGCCCCCCTCCCCAACCCCACCTTAGTGGAAGGAATTACCTGAAGTTAACATTGCAATTCTACCAGAAACTCAAGTTAAAACTTTCCATATGCTGTCATTAAAATGTCCTTCTGAGAATCCCCCAAAAGGGATGTGTAGTCAAAAAGACAAATCACTAGGAGTGATTCAACATCTGAGTGTCAGTTACCAAATATGTAAATTGGGAGTGATGAGACCTGGCTTGCACAGTCGGGCTTAGGGGTCATGTATCTTGCATATTTGGTGCAGGAAGTATCAATCCAGCGGTTATTACAAACATGATCCCTTACATTCCAACCTTACAGCCATATAGAAAAACAGATCTCAAACTTAAGGAAGCTGAGTGTCTAGGAGTCATACTATTGATATAACTATATCCATGCCTATAACTCTTTTATTGGCAAAAAGAGAGAGAGAGACCATATTATATGAATGCAGCTCTCTACATCTCAAAAATAATGTATTAGCCTATGTGACAAAATAATAACAGTGGATACATCTAAGTATTCATTGGGCTTTTCCTTGCATCCTTTCTGTAAATTTGAAATTTTCAAAATAAAAAAATTTTAATTAATAATTCACAAGGTGTTTTTCAGAAATCCCATTTAGAGCCTAATATTTGCAATTTATATGTTATATCGTATCGGAAATTTGAATCGAAGCAGATGCAAACCAAGAGGGAAACACTGTAGCAAAACCCAAAGCTTGTTCATGTTCTACCTCCAATCCCCACACAATGTTGTCCAGGATAGCAGCGAATGAGCATTTCCATTTTGCAAATCAAACATTTAAGTGTATTAAGCAGTTCTGATGAAAAATATTTTTTAATCTACGTTTTCTCACTTCTTTCCTGGAAGAATGAAAGAGATCCCCAGCTGGAGTTACAGCCATTTAAGAAACCCTAGCAGTCTTGCTTTTGTCTGCCCTGTGCCCTCACCACCCCCACCACCACACCAGGGCGCGTTCACAGTTACCAAAGTGAAAAAAGGACTGTGTGAGTCACCTTGACAAATGGAGAGCGTGACTGGGAGATGAAGGCTGCTAACATTTCTCTTTGTTCCACTCTGCGGAAGCATCCTGTCCCTCCTGATCTGCCAGGAAGCTAGGATCAGACAGTGAGACTTTTTGCTCTCTATGAATATACTGAACATTTAACAGGGGTCAGCTGCTAAGTGCTTTCATAGACTCGTACTTCATACCCACCATAACGCATGAGGTAGTTACTGTTATCCATGTTTTAGAATGGAGAAAACTGAGGCTCTGATGGCTGCAAGAACTTGCCCCAGCTCATCTGGCTTCTAAGGGGCAGAAGCAGGACTGCAGGTAGGTGGATCTGGCCCCAGACTTCTCTCTGCTGCCTCAGTGACAGATGTGGAGCGGAGATTCCACCCGCCTTCTTTTGCCGTGATGCTGCCTGTCTCTGCCAGTCCGTGTAAATTGCCACCTGCGTGGTGGCTCAACTCCCCACTCACATTTCTCCAGAGCAGCAAATGAATGGGAAGGATCCAAATTGACATTTACAGGCAAGAAAATTCAAAGAAATTAAGCAGGGTGGCAAGGTAGTAGTCAGGTGAGGGAAATAGAACCCAGGTCTCTGTTATGAGTCGGATCCTTCTCAAACCTGCCAGGGACTCTAGCACTCTGGCTTGCTTCCTAATAGTAATCAATGTTTACTGGGCTCCAGACACTAGTTCTAGGAGGTTTTTCATGCTTTATCTCATTTAATATCACCCTTTTGTAGACAGAGAATCTTGATGAACCTGTGGCCAAGGTCACTGGGGTAATAAACAGTGGAGCAAATCTTCAGACCCTGGTCCAAGTCCCTGCAACTTCCCTGTCCTCTGTTCAAAGGGGAACTAGCCCACTTCTCCGTGGTGATTGTAAACATTCATCTTTGCAGATAAGATCACTTAATATGTACTGCTACTCCATAGATGTCTATTATTACTGTTATTTTTTAATAACAGTTTACTTACTAGATTATAAAGTGTGATCATTTTCACTCAGAGCTGGTGAATCTGCAGAACACAGACATTCTCATACACTATGGGTCAAAATGTCAGTTGCTACAACCCCTTTGGAGGTGAGTTGGTACCATCCATTAAAATTGCATAGGGGCACCTGGGTGGCTCAGTCAGTTAAGTATCTGACTCTTGATTCCGGCTCAGGATCCTATGGGTTTATGTGTAGCAACAACCAAAGCCCCAGGTACAAAGGAGTTTATTGTGGCATTGTTCAAAATAGCAAAAACTGGAAACAACCATAGTGCCAAGCAGTGGGGGACAGGCTACATCAAGGGTGGTCCCTACATACAAGGGAATACAATGTAGACCTTAAAAAACCAGGGGCAAATCTATGTGGACTGCTCGGGAGAAATTTCCAAGATGTGTTACTAAGGAGAAAATTTAAGTTCCACAACAGTATGATTTGATGTATATAAAATCAAAGATCATAAAATATTTATAGAAAACTATATAAGAAATTTATTATTAACAGTAATAACCTCTGGAAATTGGGACAGGGCAGGAACTTTATCCTTTTGTGATTTTTTATATTGTTTGAATATTTGAAATAAAATTTTATTGTAGCATATGTATGGCTTGAAATATTTTTACCCTGAACACGTGCTATTTTTTATTAACTAAACAAAATCTAATTATTTATTTCTTCAACTAGTAATTCTTAACAACACTTAGTACATTAATAGGATTTTTATTTTTTATTTTTTATTTTTTTAAAGATTTTATTTATTTATTTGACAGAGAGAGAGACCACGAGAGAGGGAACACAAGCAAGGGGAGTGTGAGAAGGAGAAGCAGGCTTCCCGCGGAGCAGGGAGCCCGATGCGGGGCTCCATCCCAGGACCCTGGGATCACGACCTGAGCCTGAAGGCAGACACCTAACAACTGAGACACCCAGGCGCCCCAGGGGGCTAATGATCACAGTTATTGCGTTTGGTTTTTTGTTGTCTTTTTTTTTTTTTTTTTGAGTATTATTCTATGCCAGGCTGTCTTAAGCACACACTATTTCTCACTTAATCCTTACAACCACCTTCCTTACCAGGTGGTTGTTTTTACGCCCATTTTACAGATAAGAAAACTAAGGCTCAAAGAAGGTCAGCCACCTGGCCAGCTGTTAAGTGGAGGGCTGCAGATCTAATCCTGGTCTTCATTCCTCCTGGGATGGAGCTTTTAACTACTCCACGTGGTGGCATGGGTGCTTCTTGGTGTAATGGGCTTTTGAGACCAGATGCTCCTCTACTAAATCCTGGCTGGATATCTCCAATATCTGTCTCTAATAGCTCTCTCTTCGGTCTCTCTCTCCACAGGACCCAACTCCTCTTTTCCATCCCCACCCCACCCCCACCCCCACCCCCACCCCCCTGAGCTCTATCTCTATGCCGGCGCTTCTCTCAGAGCCACAGCATAATCTTTTACTTGAATTTACAGGAATTCCTTGGAATCCCTATACATGTTTTCCAACAATCATAAAATAAAATCCTGTGCTGGTTTCACGAAGGATTACCTCTCTGAAAACCCAGGAGAGGCAGTGGCTGAAGGATGCTGTTTAAAAATAATATGGTTACTCATGGAACTGGATTCACATTTGAATTTGAAGGAGACAGTCAGGGAACTTTAGCTGAGGAAAAGTGAGGACATGACCCAGGAGGTTCTTTTCTGCCTAACAACTCACAGAGCATGTCCCTCATTGGCTGCGAGGAAAGGCTTAGCCTCCATCTTGCTGGTGGTGATTTACCATCTCGGTCCCTTGTCTTCTAATGAGCTGCACAGGTGTTGTGTTATAATCCATGTAGCAGGTGACTGGGAGTCAGAAAATCCAAGTTCTGGACCACGAGGTGTATCTATCATCCCTAAACAGAAATGCAGTTGTCCCAAACCAGGAGTGACATCAGCATCTTCGTCTCCCCTAAAAGCATCGCTGCCCCAAGCTCATCTGCCTTCACCACTTGTTCAGTAACTGGCCACAAAGCAACACTGTGGATTGAGTTCAGAATCCCAGGGGGCTCAGAGCAGGGTAGGGCAGGGTTACCTGGGCATGGCTTCCTGGAGAAGAATTTTGAGCTATGCTTTGAAGGATCCAGAAAATGGCTCGATCTCCTTTGCTATTTCCAAGAGAAAGCAACGCAGCTGGGTACAATAAGGGCTGTTATAAAACAAGTTGCAGCTGAATTTTTTTGGAGGAGGGATGGGAAATGATGCCGGTATGAAATGAATGTGGGAGAAATGTTTGCTGGTGGCTAATTGCATGATTTAAGTTCCATGGGGCTCAGCAACCCCCATGGAGACCCAGCGTCTACACAGCGTGCTTAATCCCTGGGGAATGTCACTGTCATTCAGAGGCCGGTAGTGTGACCCCCGGCCCCAGCCAAGCAAAACAGCACTTCTCAGAGTCAGAGGATTCCTTCATCCAGCCCCTCCCCCCAATCATCTCCTCTGTCTTCTCTTATCACCGGGGCTGTCTGTCTGTCAGACCAGTTGGTCATCAGGGAATAAACATCTCAGGCTGTTTGCCCACCAGCTCAGGGATCAGGTGACTGTTATGGAAGGCAATACCGGAGGCCTTTGCATGCCAGGAACAGTGAGAGCCTGTGATGTGCTGACCTCACTGAGTGGGCACCCATGCAGCTGGCCTGGAGCTGGTGGGCTGGACAGGTGCCACTCCTTGATGTGGCACTTTTGGTCATCCCAGGGCTACCCCAGGCAGGGGACTTTGCCTAGCCCCTCTCGATAGAGACTCCGGAGTCAGAAGAGCTGGATTAGAAACCCGGACCTATGATCTGTTAGTGGCATGACTTTAGGCAAGTTACTTTACCTCTCTGAGCCTCGGTGTTTCCATCTGAAAAATGGGAATAATAGTGCCCACTTGGTAAGGTTACTGTGTGGATTAAATATAAAGCACTTAGGGGGTGCCTGGTGGCTCAGTTGGTTCGTTAAACATCTCCCTTCAGCTCAGGTCATGATCCCAGGGTCCCAGGATTGAGCCCTGATCGGGCTCCCCACTCAGCGGGGAGTCTGCTTCTCCCTCTGACCCTCCCCCTTCTCGTGCTCTCTCTCTCTCCCTCACTCTCTCTCAGATAAGTAAATAAAATCTTTAATAAAAAAAAGAGTTTACTTTAGGATTTTATTTACTTATATGACAGAGAGAGAGAGAGCACAAGCAGGGGTAGCAGGAGAGAGAGAGGCAGGCTCCCCACCAAGCAAGGAGCCCAATGCAGGGCTCGATCCCAGGACCCTGGGATCATGACTGGAGTTGAAGGCAGATGCTTAACTGACTGAACCACCCAGGCGCCCAAAAGGTAAACCATCTTAAGAAAAAAAACAAAACACTTAAGAGGTTGGTTAAAAGGGTTTACACTTTCAGCTATAACATGAATAGGTCTTGGGGCGCCTGGCTGGCTCAGTGGGTAGAGCATGCAACTCTTGGTCTTGTGGTCATGAGTTCCAGCCCCATGATGGGCATAGAGTTTACATCAAAAAAAAAGAAAAGAGGGGCCGCTGAGGTACGAGGGGAGGAGCCGCCCCTGCCACCGTCGCCGCCATCGCCGCTGCTGCTGTAGATGAGCATGTCTGCAACTCCAGCCAAGAAAGTGAAGATGGCCACCAAATCGTGCCCCGAGTGCGACCAACAGGTTCCTGTTGCATGTAAATCGTGTCCTTGTGGTTATATATTTATTAGCAGAAAACTTTTAAATGCAAAACACCCAGAGAAATCACCACCTTCTACAGAAAACAAGCATGAGGCCAAGAGAAGGCGAACAGAGAGAGTTAGGCAAGAGAAGATAAATTCTACAGTAAATAAGGATTTAGAAAACAGAAAGAGGTCTCGAAGTAACAGCCATTCAGATCCTATCAGACGAGGAAGAGGAAGACCTAAAACTGCATCTGCCAAAAAACATGAGGAAGAAAGAGAGAAACAGGAAAAGGAAATTGACATCTATGCTAACCTCTCTGATGAAAAGGCTTTCGTGTTCTCAGTCGCCTTGGCAGAAATAAATAGAAAAATTATCAATCAAAGACTTATTCTCTGATATTTGTCTGCAAAATATGTTGATACTGTCTTCAAGATTACATCAGCAAATTCTCAAACAGTTGTGGACTCTCAGGAGCATTCTGACTGCATCAATAAGGGCCATTGATTGTTTTTTTTCCCCTGTCATTTAGCCTGTGCCACACTTTGGGAGCAAAGCTGTAGGCTTGGACTGTTCTGGGATTTCCTTGTTTACCAAGGAGTATTGTCAGTGTTTTGTGTTTGGGATGTAAGTATATTTACCAAAAACAAAAAAATAAACAAAAAACAATGGATGGCTGTTAAAGGATAAAGGAATAGAGATGGGAGTGGAAGAATGAAAACTAGGGAAATAAAATGCTTGATAGTTTTCAGGTTTGCCACCAGAGATGCAATATTTTAAGTACTTTGAGAAAGAGTGACTTTTAAAAATATTATATTTCAGATTTTCAGCATTAACAGATTGCATATATACAGTTCATTTACTTTTAATAAATTGGCAATTGATATTTTATTGAATGGGGAATTAAGAATATAAACTACATTTTGTCTTAAATTGATTTTTTCTTGGTCTTTATTTTTATGACTTAAGGTATGAGTTATATTTTGGGAGATACTTTCTAGACATTTGGGAAGTTTGGGTGCTATATGAAGAAAAACATTTAAGGAATATCATACTTCAGATATAGACATCTTGTTTTCTTGAATGTAATTTATTTATTGGTTAAAAATACCTTTTCTGCTCTCAAGATGGTGCCTGTTAACCTAAACATAAAATATATTTATTACATACAAAATATTTCTTAGGTAGCTTCTTTTAAGCAGTAATGTTTTATCTGAATGGATGTTCATTTATACATACAGATAATTATTTAAATTGTTACTTAATCTCACTCTGGAAAAAAAAATAAACCTTAATATTGAAACTAATAAAGAAAAAGAAAAGAAAAGATGAACAGGTCTGGGGATCTAATGTAAAACATGGTGACAATAGTTGATAACGAAATATGTGAGCTGATGGATGCGGTTATTATAACCAGAGGGTAGAACACTTTCACAATGTATAAGTACAACAAATCACCATGATGTACACTTTTAAATGTCTTACAACTTTATATGTCAATTACACCTCAATAAAGCTGAATTTTTTTAATGTAAAACACATAGGCCAGTGTCATCTGTCATATGAATGGGGCTCGACAAGATGTTGTTGGCTGTTTTTTTAATAGGATTTTTTTAAAGATTTATGTATTTATTATAGAGCGAGAGCTCCAGCGTGAGTGGGAGGAGGGGCAAAGGGAGAGAATTTTTCAAGCAGACTCCCCACCGAGTGGGGTAGACGTGGACTGGGGGCAGGGGGCTAGATTTCATGACCCTGAGATCATGGCCCTGAGATCATGATCTAAGCCAAAACCAAGAGTCAGACGCTTAACTGACTGAGCCACCCAGGTGCCCCTGTTATTGGCTGTTTTTAATGGAATGATTACATTGGGGAATCAGTGATCATAATACACAGTCTTCTCTTGAAAGGGGGAGGTGCTCTGAGTCAGGATGTCAGTCACCTCCTGCATGTAAGACCCCAGGGTGAAAGGATAGACTTGCAGGAACCATCTGGAAGGTGAGCGGGGGAAAGGGAGCATTGTCAGAAGAAAACACTGTGGGTAAGAGACTCCCAGGCCTCGGCTTGGGTCCTGGTTCTGCCCCTTCGCCAGTCTCGGGCCCTTGGGTTTGCTTCAACAGCTCCCCGTCCTCATTTGTCCTAGCGATGAGATGGAGCTAACAAATGTTTCCTTCTTTTCATTGTGAGGCTGCGCACAAGGCTGGCCCAGAGTCACCTGTAACGACGACCTGCTTGGTCACACTACACCAGGCAGCTCAGAAAATCCGAATCCAGTGAGAATAGGGCACCTGAGAGTGCAGAGGGTGAGGGCTATGGTTGGGTTTGGTCTTTGGAGGTGGGGGATTTGTTGGGGATGGGGGATTCCTGGGGGGTTGCCTGCTCCTTGGAACATCTCACTGAGGAACTTGACTTCTGATGACTTAAAAAATCCCAAAGAAGTGCTGTTAGGATAGGGGAGGGATGGGGTTTTCAACACATGTCTGCTTCAGTCTGCTCCCCTCTCCCTGGAGAAGAGTAAATACACATGCCTGAAATGTCTAAGGGGGTGTGATGGGTTGAATTGTGTCCCCCAAAAAGATCTGTTGAAGCCCTAACCCCTGGCACGTGTGAATGTGACTTTCTTTGGGAATAGGGCTTTTGCAGGTATAATCAAGTTAAGATACGGTCATTAGGTGGGCCCTAATCCTGTATGACTGGTGTCTTACGAGAAGAGGGCCCTTTAGACATAGATTACCCAGGGAGGAGGCCACATGACAGCCGCTGCAAGTCCAGGAGCACCGAGCACTGGCAGTCAGCCCCAGAAGCTAACAGGGGTTCTACCCCGCGTCTCAGACGGCCCTGCCCACACCTGGATTTCTGACTTCTGGCCTCCACGACCCTGGGAATACATTTCCGCTGTCTTACGCCAGCTAGTTGGTGGTGCTTTGTTACAGCAACCAGAGTAAAGTAATACAGGGAGGACAGGGACTGGGGGAAAGGGGGGAGCTGAGGGATTTCGTTCCCTTGATCTGAGAGCCCAGAAAACCAGAGGAAGGAATGCACAGCCTGAGGAGCCTCTGAGGGCTGAGCTCAAGTCCAATTGCAGGGCCACCAAGGAAGGCAAGGTGTTTGGACCAAGTGATAATAGGAGGCCGGGGAGGATTCTGCACAAAGATGCTGGCTCCGAAGATCTGGAAATCTGGGGTGGTTTTTAGTTCCACTATTGGTTCGTCTGTGCAGTAGCATTAGGGACATTGGCTTTAGAATCACACAGACCCTAGTTCAAATCCTGACTCTATGTGTTACTAGCAGTGTGGCCCTGGATGATTTACCCAACTATGCTGTATTTCAATTTCCTCACAGTGAGGTTCATAGGTTCACAGGCTGTCGTGAGAGTCACAATGTTGGGTGTATGACACATAGTATGCCTTCAGAACTCATCCGCAGAATGGATAATTTATGGAAGTGTTTAGCACCATGTCTGCCAAAGTTAGGTTCCCCAGAAAACAGCCTCGGAGGCAGAGATGGGGCACAGCAGGTTTCCTGCTTAGGGGATCAATCCTTGTGGGAGCAAAGAGAAGGAAGCATGGTTGGGCAGAAAGAGAAGTGGACTGTGATCAAGTCTCAGGAGAGACCTCAGTCAACCCCACAGAAATCCTGAAGCTGGGGTAACCCTTCAGAAGCAGCAAAATGGTTCTCGGCATTTCCACGTCCGCATCCCCATGCCACTCCCACCCACGCCATTCACGTCTAATAGAAAAGTGAGTGTGCCTCACCCAATGATCCTAACAAAATCTTTATTACATCTCTTTGGCTCTGACTGGATCATGTTCCTATTCACGAACCCATCTATGGCCAGAAAATGGGACACTCTCATTAGCCGAGCCAGAGGCACACGCTCACATCTGGTACCAGATGTAACGTGAATGCCACCTGAAGCATGCATGTTGAAAATTAGGGAGTCTGGGGGGTGCCTGGTTGGTGCTGTCAGATGAGCATGCCACTCTTGATCTCAGGGTGGTGAGTTCAAGCCACACGTTGGGCGTAGAAGTGAAAGAAAGGAAGAGAGACACAGAGAGAGGATGAAAGAGAAAAGAGGAGGGAAGAAAGGAAGGAAGGAAGGAAGGAAGGAAGGAAGGAAGGAAGGAAGGAAGGAAGGAAGGAAGGAAGGAAGGAAGGAAGGAAGGAAGGAAGGAAGGAGGGAGGGAAGGGAGGAAGTTGAGCGTCTGTGATCCCCTTAATGGAAAGTCTAAGGGTGCCAAGAATGAGTGAAAGCTGGACTGTGAAAGCCTGACAAACATCTATTCTTTAACTGAAAAGGATATTAATATACAAACAGCTTCTGTTATGGCAGGTACATACTGAGAATAAATACCATGATATGGAATGCAACATGCATTTTAGGGTGTTTGACACAGAGGAAAGTATTCAAAACATGTTTGCTGAAAAAAATTAAATAAATATGCCAACTGAACGGTGGGGGGGAAAGCATCCACTGGGTGATCCTCAAACCATTTTGAGTCTTAGCCCTAGAGAGGCTTCTGAGCTGTTGGATTGTTCTGTTTCTTATCTGGATATATCATAGAAATTCAACAAGCTATACATTTGTGATTTGTGTCTCTTTCTGCATCTGTTATACCTTTCAATTTTCTTTAAAAAGTTAAAAAAAAAAAAAGTGGCAGGGCACCTGGGTGGCTCAGTTGGTTAAGCAGCCGGCTCTTGGTTTCAGCTCAGGTCATGGTCTCAAGGTCTTGGATCCAGCCCCACACCAGGCTCCTCTCTCAGCAGGGAGTCAGCTTGAGGATTCTCTCTCCCTCTCCCTCTCCCTCTGCCCCTCCCCTGGCTTGCACACGCATGTGCTTGTTCTCTCCTTCTCTAAAATAAATAAATAAATAAATCTTAAAAGAAAAAAAGAAATCTTCCATGGTCTACGGCACAGATAATAAGACCACATTCTTAAAAAAAAAAATAAAATAAATTGGGGCACCTGGGTGGCTCAGTCAGTTGAGCGGCCAATTCTTGATTTCTGCTGAAGTCATGATCTCAGGGGTGTGAGATGGAGCCTGCCCGCATTGGGCTCTCTGCTCAGAGGGGAGTCTGCTTCTTTCCCTCCTTCTGCCCCTACCTCCCCTCGTGTTCTCTCTCTCTCTCAAATAAAGGAATAAATTTTTAAAAAAATGAAAATAAATAAAATGAAATAAATAAGATGGCATTCTTTCCTCATGTTCTAGTCTTTACAGCCTCTCTATTGCTGGCTGTTCAATAACAACTTCATCAGGGTGCCTGGGTGGCTCAGTCGGTTAGGTGTCTGCCTTTGGCTCAGGTCATGATCCCGGGGTCCTGGCATCCAGCCTCGCTTACCCTGCTGGTGTTCTCTCTCTTGCTGTCTTTCTCTGTCAAATAAATAAATAAAATCTTTAAAAAAAAAACAACTTCATCAAGGGTGATTTTTATGATAATCGAGTGTCCCTATAACCTCCCTACTCTCAACCATTCAGATTTTGGTTTTTAAGGGTGTGTCATGAAGATCATCACAGCCCCAGTTTTTATAAATGTGTGTCTCAAATTAAGCTTCCAGGATCCAGATAGCTACTTTTTTGTTCATTTGTTTTTGCTGAACTAGTTAAGGCACCATAACAGCTCCTCCCTAACACCAAGCACTCCCAAAGAACAAGGATGTTTTTCTCTATAACCACAATATCATTAAGACACACAAGAAATTTAACACTGATACCATAATATAGTATTATTTTCTCTTCATATGTGAATTTTGCCAATTGTCTAGATAATGTCTTTTATATTTGCTTTTTTGTTTAAAT